TTTAGTTCAAAGTTATTTACTGTCTGTTGATAGAGCTCTACCAAATGGAGTAATTAAGAATTTTCTTAGTTGCGGGGTGCCTGGGTGGCTCAGTCGTTGGGCGTCTGCCTTTGGCTCAGGTCATGATCCCGGGGTCCTGGGATCGAGCCCCGCATCGGGCTCCCTGCTCAGCGGGGAGTCTGCTTCTCCCTCTCCCACCCCCTCTGCTTGTGTTCCCTCTCTCACTGTGACTCTCTCTGTCAATAAATAAAATATTTAAAAAAAAAAGAATTTTCTTAGTTGCTAAAGTTTTTTTAAGTCATTAAAAATTCAAGATAATAATTTCAGGGAAATACAAATCAAAACTACAATGAGATAGTACCTCGCACCTGTCAGAATGGCTAAAATTAACAACACAGAAAACAACAGGTGTTGGCAAGGATGAGGAGAAAGGGGAACTCTCTTACACACTGGTGGGAATGTAAGCTGGTGCAGTCACTCCGGAGAACAGTATGGAGGTTCCTCAAAAAGTTGAAAATAGAGCTACCATACGATCCAGCAATTGCACTACTGGGTATTTACCCCAAAGATACAAATGTCGGGATCCAAAGGGGTACGTGCACCCTGATGTTTATAGCAGCATTACCAACAATAGCCAAATTATGGAAACAGTTCAAGTGTCTATTGACTGATGATGAATTGGTAAAGAAGGTGTGGAGTATATATATTTACAATGGGATATTATTACTTAGCCATCAAAAAGAATGCATCTTGCCATTTGCAACAACGTGGATGAGCTAGGGTGTATTATGGGAAGCAAAATGTCAGTCAGAAAAAAGACAAATACCGTAAGATTTCACGCATCTGTGGAATTTAAGAAACAAAACAGGTGAACATGGGGCGGGGGAAAGAGGCAAACCAAGAAACACTCTTAACTCTACAGAGAACAAACTGATGGTTAGGGGCAGATGGGCTAGATGGGGGACGGGGATTAAGGAGTAAGCACCCTTGTGCTTGTTGTGATGAGCACGGGGGGATGTATGGAAGTGTTGAATTACTATATTGTATACCTGAAACTAATATTACACTCTTAGCCAGCTGGAATTTAAATAAAAACTTGAAGTAAACAAAAAAGATGATAATTTTAATTGCTGTTTTATGTTATCGGTTATTTTCTTATATTAATGGTAGGAAGATAATGAGATTATTTGGTTGTGTTCAGTAGCATTATAAGTAATGGAAGAAATGATGAGATTTATACCGACTTAGTGGTTTGGTTCTTTGTCTCTAATAATACGAATAATACATCGTTGTTGCTATTTTAACTATCCTTGATCTGTTAAAAACCATCCCTTTGGGCGCCTGGGTGGCTCAGATGGTTAAGCGTCTGCCTTCGGCTCAGGTCATGATCTCAGGGTCCTGGGATCGAGTCCCGCATCGGGCTCCCTGCTCCTTGGGAGCCTGCTTCTCCCTCTGCCTTTCTCTCTCGCTCTGTCTCTCATGAATAAAAAAAAAACCATCCCTTTAGTAAATCCTCAGTCTTGGCTCTGGCTAAGTGGAAGTTTCAAAAGTCGAGTGGTGGGAGGGCTACCTTCTGTGGACTCCAGAATTTTCTCCCCACTCTGTCATTTCTGTCCACTACCGGAATATACGAGAACTTTGGGTCTTAAAAGTAAGCCTGTATAAGTAACAGCGTAAAGGTAGTTGGTAACCACAGAGGCAGATGATCTCAGGCACATAGGATGTATTTTCATGTACTTTAAAATCGGTTCTTCTGCTCAGATGGATTAGAGCAAGCAGATACTTGGCTGCACTGGAGTTGAGGCCTTCCCCGGACAATGTGAGAAGGATTCTTTCCCATTTGGGAGGACCACGTATTTCCGGCTAGATTGGTTGGTACGATGGTCATTGAAGTTGCTGAGGGGCCCGCAGGAACCCTTCGTAGCAGTTGGGTGAATCAGTTTCCAGTTTGCTGCTGTGCTGACCTGTGACTTTAGGAAATTCTTATAAATCAGAAGTAGAAGTTCATTAATAGATAATAGAAGTTTAAAATAGAACAATCTCCACTACTTTTCTGAAACAAAAAAAACCTCTTTAAGGTACATAAAAATGTAGATAAAGGAACAATACTCAGTTGTGGCTGAAGTAAAGTACAGAAATAGCAATATAATGACAGTACAGAAAACCTAGAAGCTTTTGATATAGTAAGAGTATTCCAGTGGTTAGAAAGGAAGTTTTCTTCAAGTTGTAAAGCCTGAAATTTAGGAAGTAAATTAACATATTTTTAAGGACTAATTGAAGGTTTAACATATTTTATGAGTGAGTACAACAAGGACTTTTTACACATTAATTAATGTTGTGGTCATTATAGGTACCTCAGAAAGCTGTGCATGGGGTTACGCCCTCCTTATTGGTTAAGCTGACCACTGCTTTTGCAACCTAATGGTAGCCCTTTGAGGAAAGCTGGAATGTAGATAAAACCTGCAGTTTAATGCCCGTTAAATCAGTGATTTCAACTTTGTTATGGTTGTTCTGATGTTCCTTTTTTTTTTTTCCCCCTGAAGAGGAACTAGGGAAATGTGATTAATAAAATCAACCCACTAGATTTCATTTTGTTTTTGATGGAAATATTTCCTCCTGTAAAATTTAATGGCCATGAATTTGATTGCAGAGTTTATTTACCATACCCAGACCTGCCCCAAGAGGCAGTTTAAAACAATTCCATTAGAATCCAGTTAACTAATCAAGATGAATGTTGTGGAACATTATAAAAAAGGACTTTTGTGAAAGTCAGCTCACATCTGGCCTGATATTTTGATATTCCTTCTCGTCATCCCCCCAAGAAAAGTCATTAAACATAGTATAATCTTCTTACTGTCTTTGAGGCCCGTGGTTTGTCACTAATTGAAGGCTTTTAAAAGTGAAACTCTCTTATTATGAGGTCTTTTGGTCACCATTGCCCCCTTGCCTGGGGGCAGAATGGTCTGACTTTCACCAAAAAGTGCTCTTATATCCAGCAGTTTTATGGTGAGGTATTTGAGTGTTTTTATCTGAATAAGGAAAATTAAGCAATTTCAAAAATACTTTTGCCAGACAGGACCCCTTAAGTCTTAGTACTGTGCGTGCTGGAATTCCTGAATGCATGCATACATCATGTACCAGTAGAGGTATTTGTGAAATGTACTGAAAGCACAGTACTTGGCAGGTGATGTTCTAGGTACTGGAGATTCGGCATTTAGAACAGATGAAGTTCCTACCCTCCCACGGGGACAGTCTCTTGGATATTATATTCCAGAAAGATGACCACAGTGTACTTACATTCTGCTTAGAAGAAGAGAAGGTTGCTGTCTCAGGTCCTACTCCAGCATGTGGCAGAGCTTTGCGTTTGCTTTATGACTAAGGGGAAGTTGTGAGTGCCCGAGCCGTCACTCTCTGTGATTTTCCCCACTGGCTCATGAGTTCACTCCAACCCGAAGTCCCTCCGTATGTGATTTTCGGTGTCCCTGCTGTTTGTTCCTGGCCTCGCCCGTCTTCCCCAAGGACTCCGTGCAGTCTCCGTCTCTTGATGTGCACGGCTGAGTGGGTGTGTGCGTGTGCTCTGCTAGATTTCTTGTCCCAGTGAGATTTTAAACTCCTTCAGGGAGATCATGGTCAGGGACTTTGGTTTCGTGCAGTGCTTTAGATGTAGTAGCATTTATTAGTATTTGTTGACGTCAGGCTACTTTCCTAAAATTGCTTAAATCATAGCAGTTTCTTTAAAAAGTATTCTACATTGAATTTTTTTTAATGCTTTGCATTTCTTTAAGGTTTGTCTTTCATGGTTAGTCAAACCACTTGGTGCATCAAAACCTTTACTTTAAAAAAATTGCATAGATGATTGCTAATATGCAACTTCCTGCTAGGACTCCTTTTATGCTCATTAAGCATGGTTTTTCATGTTCGCAAGTGCCATAGCCTTTGGCGGGGGCGGGGATCACCCTTTCTAGTCAGGCACAGTAATACTGCATTCGTATGGCCATGTCTGACATTTACCTGTTTCTGATTGGAGATGGTATCAGGCACTGTTTTTCTTTGTTACAACTCTCTTCCTCCCACCTTTCCTTCCCCAGAAAGTTTAAGCTAGATTTAATCGTTTCCATTATGATTTTTGTTTTTCTCCTGTTTGATTGATTACTATCACAATAGACAGGGCAGTAGTCATGGGAAGTTCCATTTTGTCAGAGCCCGGGGTTGTTCCTTGTGAAAGCCTGCAGTTCAGGGAAGCTTTCAGCCGCATGGCCTTCCCGCTAAGCAGCGTTGCTTCCTTTGGGGTAAGCTTTGACCTTGGGGGTTGAGGCATCGTGCTGGGAGAGATGTGTATGGACAGCAAAAAAGTAAAAAGCAGTCACGGTATTTTATGGAAGTAGGATTACAGAATGAACTATTCCTATTTTAGTAGTTATAAATTCTGTTCAACTTTTATTTCTCCCTAACTTGTGGGTCTTGGCGCCCTTTTAGGTTAAGTCCGAAGGATTCTATATACAGAATTTTAATTTTTAATGAATTAAATGAAGTGGACCACACAAGAACAAATATAATTATCAAGTAATTAGTTGAGAACCCCTTAAAAGAGGGTAATTCTCATTTTAGACTTCCGTTTGAAAACGGCAAACTTAAAAAAATCTTTTATACTAAATATGCTTTGTAGATTTTAGTAATCTTTTGAATAAAAGAGGTGATAGACAAATGGATGTTATTTTAAGGACCTGAATTAAAATATTTTGTATTTTGATAGTGCTAATATAAAAGTATTCATTAATATCTTTACATCCCAGACAGATTTTTCCTTTACAGGCCTAAATTTTTCCTACTTTATTTTCTTCCATTATATACTTGTTGATTATGCATATTGCAGTTATTTTTCAATACTTCTGATAGGAACAAGGATTTTTAAATTTTATTTAAGAAAATCTGGTGTAAAATAACTCTTAGTTGACGTGGTGAGAATGTGCATGTGCTAACCTTTTGATCAACACCGGTAGGTTTTGGGTCCTGCTCCCAGGTGGTGTTCGTTCCTGGACAACTTGACAGAAGAATTAGAAGAGAATCCTGAAAGCACGGTTTACGATGATTACAAATTTGTCACCAAGAAAGACCTTGAAAATTTAGGTAAAAAAATTATGATAAAATTTTTAAAAAATTATTTGGGGGTTAAGTTTTGAATGTAAGAGGTAGTAGAGTCACATTTATCTGATTTTCCAAATCTTCTCTTTCTGCCAAATCAGATATTAAACTTGCTATGTATATTGTCAAGTTTGTAATCTCTGCTGAGAGAAAGGTTGAGATAAACTCAACCTACTGAAGCTTTTTTGTATTTTAAATGAGGAATAATTTTCTTTAGCATACTAGCTATGTATAGAAAAAATGTCAAGAAAGTGGTAATTTTCTTCAAGTACTGTTTGAGTATAAGGTTTTGAAAATATCTCAGAGACTGCACATAAATGCTTCTGGCTCCCTTTTAAGTTTGCTTGTAGAAGACCCCATCCAAAACTTGGGAACCCGATTGAATCCTCAGATACGTAGAACCTTATAGTTACTTTCGGCTTAAAGGTCACAGACCAAGAAATGCCTTTTACCAGCAGCCAGCATTGTGGGGCTTATCATGTGCAGGTAATATTCTGAATGTTTACATACAGCTCTTAATCCTCCCCACTCCATGGAGTGGATATGGTTATGATGCCATTTTATAGATAAGAGACAGAGGCACTAGAAGGTGAAACTAACTTGCCAAAGGCTTCAGTCATGAACACGAGGGTTGGGGTTTACACCTAGAGCGTATGCGCTTCACCTCAGCCACACCAACCCGTCGGAAGAGTGCGTGTGTCTCAGGTGACAGGTCCTACTTCATAGCATAAGGAGGGCAGATTTTGCTGATCTAGTTCTGTCATTGGAGAACGGCTGCACAGAAAATGATGGAGAGTGGGCAAACCTCGAGGACCCCTTCTCCACGAGTCTAGGCAACTTAGTTGTCTGTGGGGCAGACAGATGTACAGCAGCAGTTAAGTGTTACAAGAAAATAGAATCATGTCATAAATAAACTGAGAGGTTTCCGAACTTTATTTCATAGCACAATTAATCTAGGCAGAATTCATTTTCTACCACTTACCACCAAAACAACTCTTCACATTTTAATGTTTAAAGAGAAGAGGCTTGTAGTCAGCCTTTTAAAAATGATGCCGGGATAAAATATGGTACAGTAGGATCTTCCTCCTGATGTGCCTTCCTGAATAGCTCCAGTGTAACTTGCACACTATGCTGTGTCATACTCACCTCCATCCTTAAATCGGACGGAAAAAGTCATTGCTATTTTGCAAAGTTTTTAAAAATACTGTGTTGTGTTCATTTTGGGTGCTTGTTTAGTCTCTTTCACTGTGTTCATTTCGGGTGAGGAAGGCAGTTATAAAGCATGGTATTTCCCGAAACATGTTTCGTGGAATGTTACTTGTGCTGGAATGTTGGACGGAGCGTACCGTGGCTAACACCGTGGGCATCAGAGGGAGACGGACGGGTGCGCGTCCCACATCTTCTGCTTAGTATCTGCGCGGCTTGGCCAGTTTACTGAACCTCATTGAGCCTTGGTTTTCTCATCTGTAAAATGAGAATAACGGAAAGAACATGCCCTTCTTACATTATTGTAATAGCATGCTTTGTGTTTGGAAATTATGGGCGATAATTCCCCCCCCGCCCACCACCACCACCGCTGTTCCTCCCTGATGGTATAAAGTTGGCAAGTCACTGTTGATGCCGGGATTATTCTTCAATTTGAACTGGTTCACAGAATCCAAAAACCTGAGAACCACGAGCATAAAGAATCCTTCTTTGCCAGTCTTTCATAGTTCACAAAGACTTTTTCATCATTTTTGTGCTTAATGACATGTAAAATAAAAAAGGGTGACACTGCTTAAAGTGGATTAAATTTCCTCCATAGTTTGTGAAGATTAGTGGTTCTCATACTTACAGTTTTACTCCAAAGTGAAACCTTATAATCAAATCAGAAGTGAAATCTTATTATAATCTTACTATAATATAAGAAAAAATGGTTCAACTTTCATTAAGATTTCGTAAGGATCTGCCTTCTTCTGATTAACTCCTTCCAGGGCTCACGCATCTCATCGGATCACCTTTCCTCCGGGCATATATGCATGGATTTTTCATGGATATAAGACTCTATCACAAGGTAAGTAGACTACCCTTATTTTAGGTGATTAATGAGCCATTCCTTCTCTATTTACTTGCATTTTGCAGAACATGCTTATGATTTGTAAGAGAGCTGCCTGTTCTTTGGCAGAATAGTCATGGTGTTGATGAAACATGCTATTAAATATGACTTTTATTTTTGAACTTCCTTTTCCACTATGAAAAGGTGAAGTTGATGGTAAATCCATTTGCTTATGAAGAATACAGGAAAGATAAGATCCGACAGAAAATAGAAGAAACCCGCGCACAGAGAGTCCAATTAAAGGTAGATATTGTGTTCTACTCACTGTTGAGTTTACCAGAAAAGTACTACGTTTTCATTTTGTGTGTTATTCCAAAGAAACCTGTCATCTATTTCTGTTTTCCCTTTTTTTTTTTTTTTTAAGATTTTATTTATTTATTTGAGAGAGAGAGAAAGCACAAGCAGGGGGAGGGGCAGGGGGAGAAGCAGGCTCCCTGCTGAGCAGGGAGCCCGATGTGGGACTCGATCCCAGGACCCTGGGATCATGACCTGAGCCGAAGGTAGACACTTAACCAACTGAGCCACCCAGGCGCCCTCGTTTTCCCATTTTTAGTTTTACATCTTTTCCTAATAGTTTTGATCTATTTTATTGGTCATGAGGGTGGATACTCTTTACAGTTTGAACATGATGGATTCTATGGCAGTGATATTATGAGAAATAATGCCAGAGGGACTGATATCATCAGCCCTTCTAAGAAAATGTGACGGAATTCTCAGATGGGTTTTCAGTGTTTGGAGTGTTGAGGCTTTGATAATCCCCATTTCTTTCTGACATTTGGCAGTATCTGAGGCTATCTGCTTGGGTCATGGTCATCAGACTACATCGGGGTCCAGAAGGAATCAGATCACCTGGTTCTATCAACAGAATGTAATGTAAAGAATGTTAGAGAACTGAGGCAAAAACCGTAAGGATAGCGCCTCAGGCGTGGCTGCAGGAAGCAGCCTCGGGGCTGGGTGACGGGGAGGAGGCAGCGCTGCTGGGACCCCGGCCTGTGAGCCTCTGGTGCTGGCGCTCTCTGCTCCTGAGAGGGTCAGAAAACCGCCCGCTGGGGTCCCGCACTCCGCTGGAACCACCTGCTCGCTGCCAGGGTGAACAACTGTTGCCTCGCGCTGCCCGCCCAATAGCAGGCAGACAGGGAAGCCGAGTCCCCTCTGCCTCCCAGTCTCTCTGGCAGCCCCACTGGGTTACGGTTCACCACCAGGTGACACACTCATTTCTAACTGGACATTGGCAATAAATAAATACACACATACATAAATACATACGTCTGCACATATATACGTAAGTATACATCTGTACACACACACTCAGTACCAAAGACCGTTTCCCTTTTTGCAGATTATTTGTGAAGTTTCCTAGGAGTGTTGAATGTGTGTGTGTTGGTAAGGGGGAGACTAGGATGTGTAGAGTACTTTTGTCCCATTCTTTGCATTACTTGTCTAAGTTGTATTTTACAATGGAACATAAAGCACTAAGTGGAAAAGGACAATAAAGAGCTCACAACTTTTTCCTGAGCATTGTCAGACTCACATCTAGAATTCCCCTTAGAAATTTGCTGTTTCAGGAGCAGCGAATAGTGCATTTAGCATTATTAGTAGCGTTTCAGGGGTTCCCTGAGCCCCAGCCAGAAGCTGCAATAGCAGGCCTGCTGGTCTCCACTTCATCAGCGAGGGACCTGGCCCTCTGAGGCTGACCTCGGCCAAACACAGCTTCTCCCAGCTCGCTCCTCAGTACTCCAGGAAAGAGACCGGGTGAGGGCAAGTACTCCCAGCTGATAACATCACGTGTGTCCACATTATTTCGTCCTCTGGGGATAATGAAATTTTAAAAATAAGAATTGGAGGGGTGCCTGGGTGGCTCAGTTAGTTAAGTTTCTGACTCTTGATCTCAGCTTGGGTCTTGATCTCAGGGTCGTGAGTTCGGGCGCCACACTGGGCTCCACGCTGGGCATGGGGCCCACTTAAAAAATAAATAAGAAATTTCCTGTTTGTGAAATTATACTCCTTACAGAACTATCAACTTGTAAAGCTAAAATGTAGGTATTTAATACACCTTTTTTTTCTTCTGCTAGAAATTGCCCAAAGTTAACAAAGAACTAGCACTTAAATTAATTGAGGAAGAGGAGGAAAGGCAAAAATCTACCTGGAAAAAGAAAGTTAAGGTAAGATTTTATAAGGCAATGAAGACGTTGATAAATTGTTTCTATATTTTCTTAGTAGTAACTTTTAATTATCTTTTTTCTTTCTTCTTGAAAAATACATGTAGCTTTTTTCGCCCCTGCTTATGGGATAGTGTATGCTCAATATGGGAAGTTTGGAAAAATAGAAAAGAACATAAAGAGTGTCACTTATATAATTCTACCTAGAGAAAGGCATCATTAATATGTTAGTGAATTTCCTTCCTGTCTTATTTCTCTTAAAATTATAAGCTGTAATAGTGAGATAATAATTGTATATATAAGATGTTTATCTTGGTTGCATAAAATAACACAAGTGGTTTCCCATTTCATTAAAAATTCTTCATACTTTTGAGAGCTGCATATACTCTTAAGGATGTATAATTTATTTAATCCTTTTATTGTTAAATATTTAAATTTTTTATTTTCTTTGTTCTGACTAGATCTGTTTATAATTCCAGAATTAATTAATTTTTATTTAGACTTGGCGTTATCAGGAGTATGCACGCTTATGTGTAACTGCTTCTTACCTTCCTTTACTAATGTGAAAATGGATGAAGATCAGTCATGAAATAAATAAGGGTTAGTGTTTCATGTCGCTGATATTATCAAGACGGGGGAGATTTTTCTAGTTTTCCTACATATGTGAGGACTTCTCATCATCTGCTTAGACGAGCAGGCAGGCAGATCACTCAAGCTTGGCTCTTTGCTGGAATGAGTTATAAAGATCCGATCTCTGAGGAGCCCGCGGGCCCCGGCTCTGCGTGAAGGGCCTGACCTTGGAACTTCGGGCCAGCTGTGTTATGCTCGCAGGAGATTTTTGTTTGCTTATTTATTCTTCTCTGTTCTCTTGCTGGTTTCTAACCAGGTTAAGTGAACGGGAGACAAGCCAGCTCTTTGTGTGTTTTTGTTCCACCACTCCCTTCCCTGACGCCAGTGGACTTCAGCTGAAGGCTCTTGTTTCTCATTAGCTTCTTGCTCCGTGATCCCGGGCTTTACTGGAGCAGAGTTTTTTCTTCTGTCACATGCAAAGATAGGACCAGAGAGAGGGTGTTCTTGGAGTGCTGTGATTTCTAAGTGGAGTACACACCGCTCACTTCCTCTCCTCTGCCTCTTCGTTCCGGTGGCATCTTCCCATCCTGGTCTAGTAGGTTTTTTAAATATGTTATTTAAATCTTGATTTTTAGAAGCCTCTCTTAAGTAAATCCATAGATGACTTTTTTGTTTCCGTTTTCCTTATGTGACTAATACACCAACATTGAAACAATTACTTAAACTTACTATATACATTTATATCCACGTGCTGGGTCTACGGCCCCTCCTAATTAATTCACATCAGGGCATTAAGTGTGTGCATGGATCGTAAAGTGCTTGAAATGGAAGTGCCTTCTGCTGTGTTGACTCCCTCCTCAGAGTATTCACCTTGATTTTCTTGTTAGCCCAGCCTGAGGATTCAGATTTAAGGAGGTAACTTTTCAACTTCATAATGTTGTTTTACAAGCTAAATGGAAGTGATCTTTGGATTACGTGCCCTAAAGCTTCAGGAGGAAGAGTGTGGGCCTGCTGTAGGATGCAGATGTATGCGTTCCTGTCTGTGTTTTATGCTTATGAGTCCTTATCTATAATGATACATATCTTAATATTACAGAGAGTAGGACACTTCGATTGTAACTGCGGTGCTTGTGCAGTGTGGCATCGTCAGTCTAGGAGCCTTTTAAAAGGCCCTGATGGTTATGAAGATGTGGGAAAAGTATCCTGTCCTCGCCTCCCACCCCCTTTTTTTTTGCAAACTTTCACTGGGGTTGGGGACAGCCAGAGAAGGTTTCTAACACAAATGGTCCTCCCTGTACATGGGGTGCAGGCTAGTAGAAAATGACTGTGTGAGCTGAAAACACTTAAAGTGATCTTATTAATAGTCGTGATTTTGTGCATTTGAAAATTTTTGTCAGAATGTTGATAGGGTTGTCCTGTAAAGAATCCTCCCTCGGACTACGTCCTCCTTCTAAACTGCAGTACCAGGAGGAACACCCTTCAAAATTCTTATCTTCTTTCATCAGACGGCGTTGTCTCTCTAGCTCCTGGAAGCTCGAAGTGCTATTTTTGTAAAAGCTACGTCCCCTGAGAAAATTCTGCTACAAACTGGTATTTGTAAAATGTGCCCCTGATTTGCTTTTCGGTGGCTTGTTGACCCAATTCCAGGCCTGTCATCAGAGCTCGGTTTCTTTCCGGAAATACTTAAAAGTTTTTTCGAAATCTCAGGCTGTTATTAGACAAAGTTTACATGATTTGATGTTTAACGTGGTTATCTAATTAAAATGAAGACCTTAAAAACCACTCATGAATTAAGGAAAGAACCCCTCATAATGTAAAGAACACTTGAAAGAATTGTTCCATCTATCAGCAGTTCGTTAGTCTTGCCTTTGAACTCAGTTCTGCAAACCCTCAAGAGCTTTCATAGCTCTGATGACTTCTGATGTGAAAGCCAGTATGGTTTAGTTCTGCTTTGGCCCCAGCTGGAATTTCTTGGAGGCAGACAGTGAAATCTGTTCCCGAATCTTGCTGCCACTGATAACATCGTTGAAGTGTAATAAGGTGTGTTCTGTTCAGTACCGATGCTGGGCCTGGAGTGCGGATGGGCCCACTCTCTAATGTCAAGAAGCATTATCTGGACCTTATCCAAACTTAGACATTTGGTGGCATTCGTTCATTTTTGCACCGAATCCGTATTGTGCCCCCTGTGCGCACAGGCTTCTTGGAGAGGCGTGGCACACTGGTGATTCATTGGATTTGAAAGGGTTTGAGCCATTTTTCTTACAAGTGTCATTTCCTGGCTGTTGGCCTCTTCTACCAGTTTTTCACTGTTGCCTTGGAGTCTTGGATAGACGTCCTTCTCTTTGGATTCTGCGGCAGCTCAGTCGTGTGTGGTCCTGCACGACATCTCCAGGCCGAGCATACTCTCACCTGGGCCATGCACGGGAGAGGTGTCTTAGCCTGCGGGTTTAGTGGATACCATTAAGAGTATATTTTAAAGTAATAATTCTTCTCTCTAGGGAAAAGATAGAGCCGTGCATAGACACTGGGTTGGATCAGATCAGTTTTAACATGCCAGATATTTTTTTTTAATGTTTTTTAGTACCAATTAAAGATTGTTTTTGGCTTTTATTACAATTTTAAACACGTGGTTTTAAAAATGAAATGTTTTTCCAGGGTTTGTTAGGAACGTTGGCTGTCCCCCTGTCCTTCTCTTCCCCCCCACGTTCTCCCCCATTTGCACCTGTCCGGAGACAAACACTTTGGCACTTTTAGTGGATTACTTTGGTGTAAAGCTCCAAGTCTCTTAATATTGCCCCTAATGCTCCTTCTTGGCTTTTAAATGTCAGGCCAGTTATCTTTCATCTTTTGATGACCTTCCTTCCTGGTAAGTTCTGCTGCAGCTTAGGACAGTCAGCACTTAGCTTGTTGGGACTGTGCGCGTGCTCTTCCCATACCAGGCGGAGTCAGGTGGCCATCTGGGATTATGTATCCCCCATCCAGCCTCCGTCTTCCATGGATTTAGTGGTTGGCTTTTTCTTTGTTTTCTATACAGTGATCACTGGTTAGCCCTCAATCCTTTGCTGGTTGTCTAAGTCTCATCTCAAGATGTTTATATGAATATCGGTTGTTACATTAACTTTTCTTTTCCTGACAGAGTCTCTTCTGATGTGTCGGCCTCTCTCCATTCTGGACTAGCCACCTCCGAGTGCTGGTCCACAGTCAGCATCCTGGGGATGCACCCCACCTACACCCTGTGTGGGATGCAGAATTAAAAAGACCTTTAGTTTTCTGAAGGAATATGTTTCCAACCCAGACAAGCAGGCAGTCAGTGTAAGGGTATAGTGAAGAGATTTTCAAACATGTAGGTTCTCAGCAACAACCACACATTACATTTATGTGTTTATTTTCCTGAGGAAGTCCCTCAGGATTTTCTCCTCCAAAATAAGAGAGTAAGGCAAGGAAGAGGAGGAGTGCAAGGAAGCTCCCCACAGATGGCTGTGGGCTGGTCTTCCCTTCATAATCCAGCCCGCAGTTCGGGCCACCGTGTAGGCCCGTTCAATCCAGAAACTTAGGCTCTTCGGTGCTGGGGGATTTTCTTGGGGGAAAAAATGCTTAAGTAGTTTTCCCCTGCTGTGATCTCAGGTCATTTGTTTATATTTAAGAGTGAAGGACCTACAAAAGCTTAGTGGAAGCTCTGAGGTGGGGAGACAGGACTCACCACTCACTGTGTGGTGACCCAGCCAACTGTTTATTTGGGGAAGCTCCAAATAGCAGTATCTCTTTGGCCTTTCTCTTAGCTGGTCAGATTCTCCTGTTTGGAGGGTGATGGCCTGGCTCCCAGCATTCTGAGAACCTTCGTCAGGAGGGCTTGGGGTGTGGGGGGCGGGGCGGCATTGCAGCCCCTTTGTGCCACATGCTTCCCTAGCCCTCAGGGAGCTGCTGCCCCCGCAGGCACCCCTTCCCCTCCAGGGACGGCACCTCTCCTGGGACAGGGAGGGATTGAGGCCTGCCTTTCTTCTTTCCAGAATCACTGCTCCTGTTTCTTTCTTGTCCTCCTTATCCTTAAGGGTCGTGTCTTTTTTAAGCCCATTTTCTATTGCTTTCCTGGGGTTTTAGCAGAGATTAGAAGGAGATGCTTATGTTCAGACTGCCATCTTTACCCAGAAGGCTGCACCACAGACATCATAGCGTTAATTTCATAGACAGCACTGAAGGAATGGACTTGTTTCAAATGTTAAGCATTCCTCGTATGTTACTATGTTGGGACAAAATATTCATAGTAAGCATCCTACTCAAATCTACAGATAATACTTCTTTGAAGTAGGGCTGTGGTAGGAATAGTGCTTTGAGATGTTTTTCCAATTTGAATGGCAGGTGTTTAGCATATGTGCATGTGTATTTCTAGGGTAGAGAGCTAGCCAGACACTTATAAACTGCTGTGGAGCATCACTGACTACATCTGATCCTTCTCCTTTTTTTAAGTTAGCTGTGAAAGCAAACAATTAGACTAGGAAAAATCTCCAAGGGAAGTATTTTTATAGCTAGGTCAGAAAAGTTATTATTTTATAGTTGTTCATCCAAAACATATTTGTCTTTAGGCAATACAATTGATTTGTTTAAAATTAAGAAAAAAACTTAAGAATACTAGCAGCATATTTTTTGTAACATGTTTCTCTATTACTAAATGTGATTATTTAATGAATACACTAAGAATTTATACAATTTAGTCTCCTTCTCTCACTTGAGACCTGGCGTGTTGTTCCCAGGCATCTAATAGTGTTCATCAGAATCCAGATGGCCTTCTCCCTAAAGATTTAATTTCTTTAAAGCAGTTTTGGGTTCACAGCAGAACTTAGGGGAAGTCACAGTTCTCTCCCGTGTGCCCCCCGCGCCCACACACGCACAGCCTGTCCCCCTGTCCACATCTCTCACCAGAGGGACATTGGTTAACTTGGTGAATCTATGTGGACACATCATCATCGCCCAGAGTCATCACCCAGAGTCCGTAGTTTACATTAGGCTTGGTGTTGTATGTTCTGTAGGTTTGGACAAATGTATAATGAGATGTATCCACCATTAGAATATCATACAGTATTTTCACTGCCCTAAAAATCGTCTGTGCTCTGCCTGTTCATCCTTCCCTCACCCTGGCCCTTGACAACCACTGATCTTTGTACTCTCTCCGTAGTGTTTCCTTTTCCAGAATGCCATAGAGTTGGGATCGTACATATGAAGTCTTTTCACATTGGCTTCTCTCACTTAGTAACATGCAGTTAAGGTTACTCCATGTCTTTCCATGACTTCCTGGCTCATTTCTTTCTAGTGCAGAATCCTCTCGAGTTGTCTGAACATTGCCACGGCTTCTCCGTGCCCTTGCTGGAGGTCATCTTGGTTTTTTGGAACTTCTCATCCTTTGCTCCACCCTCTGCCTCTTTTTCTGATGCTCTTCAGTGATGGGGCCCAACTCCTGGTAACACCAACTGTCCAGTCACTTAAGCTGGACCTCGCACTCTGCTTTTCACTCTCCCCTCCTGCCAGCTCCTCTGTAGCTGCATCCATCAGTTCTAATGTGGAAGTGTTCCCGCCCTAAGTCAGGCCCTGGCTTTTCTCCTGGTTTCCTAAAGCGGCCCTGTAGTCTTCCTCATGCCTGGTTGCTCCCTCGGCAGTCCCTCAGCTACCGTGCTGCTGAGGACTCGCACAGCGGAGTTCTTGTCATCCGAGAGCCCTGGAGCACACCTCGAGCTGTCACCTGTCCCCTCCTCCTCATCCTTCTCTCCCCTAGGAGTTGCCCCTCACCTGTAGCATAAAGTGCCCGGTGTTACGGGGTTGGTTTCCTTTACAGTCTGGCCTGATGAAAAAATGCTTTTTCCGATTTTGTCATTCTTGTATCGTCAGACTGTTCACCACTCCTCAGTGGGCTGGAAATGCTCTTCAGCTTTCTGTCTGTTGAAAACTATTCATCTGTCCTCCAAATGCCACATCCGCCAGTGAGCCCTTCTGACCTGTCTCTTGTTGGAGTTACTTTTTACCTTTGCTCTTGAGCACTTTCAGCTTTTCTTAGCATCCTTGGAGCCTCCAGGCTTTTGTTTCAGTTTTTGGTTTTTTCTTTTTTTTTTTTTTTTTTTTTTTTTTTAAAGATTTTATTTATTTGACAGAGAGAGAGACAGCGAGAGAGGGAACAGAAGCAGGGGGAGTGGTTGAAGAAGAAGCAGCCTTCCCGCTGAGCAGGGAGCCCGACGCGGGGCTCGATCCCAGGACACTGGGATCGTGACCTGAGCCGAAGGCAGACGCTTAACGACTGAGCCACCCAGGGGCCCCTCAGTTTTTGTTTTTTTCTTTCTCATTAGATTCGGAGCTAGCACCTTGGGATCAGGAACTAGATCTTATCTTTGTTTCTTCCTCAAACCTAAATCTGTCTTAGAAATGATATTTAATCAGGGAAGGCTTGTTCAGTGTATCTTAAATATATATTCAGTATGTCATAGAATTTTAGGTTAAGGGTTCATCAGATTTTAGGTACATACCAGTAATAAACAGCCCAAGTTCCTTAATGTCTGATGACTTAATCAAATTTTTGTGTAGCTATATTCCAAGTACCACACTCAGAACTCCACTGCTTACAAACAACCACAAACAGGTTAGCCTCTCCAGCCCGCGTTCAGGTTGTTTAATTTACAAACCCTGTGAAGTAGGTTGATTTATCTGGGTTCCAAGCCTGTAGCAAATAAGAAACCGTAGGAGAGCCCTGAGTGTAGAAGATTGTCATCTGTTTATGGGAACAGCTAAGTTTACGATACACTCTAGAAAACTTTCTCTTCAAAACGGTACAATTAAAAAGGAACTTAGTGTCAGCCCCGACCTACTCAAATGGGTCTCATTATCAGTTTTATTGTGTCAGAAAGTTTACGCTCTATCCTTTGTGAACAATTAAATGGCCGATGGAAAAAAATTGACGAGGCCATCCTATAAGAGATGGAAGCTTCCCTTATGTTTCCAAATAACTCACTTAGAGTCAGGAAGCTTCCATCAGCAGCCCCCCCGCCATGTTAATTCTTGCCTTATTATTGTTCTATATTTCCTTTCCCAGTTTTGGAATATGAACTTGGAAAACTCACTAATTTTATTTATTTAAGCTATGCTTAAAAAGCCATGTTTTAAAAATATATATTCCCTTGAAAAGTATTTTTTCATAAGAAATGTTAATTGAAGAAAATTCTTTCCAAAGTATGAAGCATAAAGGTAAGCCAGAAAGGTTCAGTCTTCACTCATTATGTGTAATGGTCAAGTAATACATATTGTCTGTGAAATAGATTAATAGAAAATGTTTGCAAGTAGGAGATAAAACCCAAGGGCAGTTAGAAAGTTCTGGAAACTAGTTCTAAAGAAGTTTCCTAATAATTTAATGTTATGCCTTATACAGCTTCTTAATTTATAATTGACCGAAATGTTTTTAGGCCATCTTTCTGGTCAGATTTTATTCATACTAACTTTAAATTCCTACATTCTTTTTGTCATAGAGCCTTCCTAATATTCTCACCGATGATCGATTTAAAGTTATGTTTGAGAACCCTGACTTCCAAGTAGATGAAGAGAGTGAAGAATTTAGGCTTTTGAATCCACTTGTTTCGAAAATAAGTGAAAAAAGGAAGAAGAAACTAAGACTCTTAGAGCAACAAGAGCTTCATGAAAAAGTAACGTACTCCTTATCATTTTATATCTGCTTCTGTTTCTTGAATGTAAAGTTTTCTGTGTAAGTTAGAAGAGCCTTTGAGGTACTTGAGGTGTAATTTGTTCAAACTTCAGCTTGGAAGTAGATCTTAATTCAAGGCGTTTTCCCCCGATGCGTGCGATGTCACGTACTCCGTGGATGACAGTTAGTTAGAAGAGAATAACAGGTCGGTGTCTGGTGAGGGAAAGGAGCTGCTTCTTACTATTTTTATTTTCAGGAAGAGGAGGAAGAACCGGAAGGAAAACCAAGTGATGCAGAAAGTTCTGAGAGTTCAGATGATGAGAAGGACTGGGTTGAAGAGGTCAGGAAGCAGCGCAGACTGCTCCAGCAGGAGGAAAAGGTGAAGCGGCAGGAGCGGCTCAGGGAGGACCAGCAGACAGTCCTCAAGCCCCAGTTTTATGATGTCAAAGCAGGAGAAATCAGAAGCTTCAAAGATTCTGCCACCAAGCAGAAGCTGCTGAAGTGAGTAACCCTGCTCTCAGTGACGCTTCGCCGGGCTGCCAGGGCCTCGCTCTTCCTCGCGGCCACGTGGCCCTGAGCAGGACATTTTGCTCTTGTGGAAGCACCACAAGGCTGGAGGGGAAATACACTGGTCTTTATGATGATGACTTTTAATAACTTTCTGAGGTGGAGTTTACATACAGTCAGGCCCAGGGCATGGCCTTGGGAGTATTGGCCAATATACGAAAGAACATTTTTATGCCGCACAGGTCACGTTCTTGTGTTGTCCTTGTTTCTTTCCCTCCGTTGCCCTGACCTACAGCTGCTGGTTTTATTCTGTGCCCTACAATCAGCGCTTTTCTGTACAGTGGTAATTAAGAGGCAACAAATTCTTTGCATCTTAGCAAAAAGTTATTTTTCTTAATTAGAATTTCAGTTATGTTTATCCATATCTCAGCTTGCCTGATTACTTGGTTACTTGGAAAATTTGCCAGAGATTTTAAGCCTTTTGCAGGAAAATTGAGAGATGAGAAAGAGTGGTATGCTAGAATAGTCAAATACATAGAAAGTGGAATGGTGGTTACCCAGGGCTGGGCGAGGGGGAAAGGGGAAATGCCACTTAATGAGGTACAGAGTTTCAGTTTGGGATGAAGAAGTTCTAGAAATGGATAGTGGTGATGGTTGCACAGCAACGTGAATATATTTTACCACAATAAAGAAGTCAACGTTAAGGGCGCCTGGGTGGCTCAGTTGGTTAAGCGACTGCCTTTGGCTCAGGTCATGATCCTGGAGTCCCGGGATCGAGTCCCAAGTCGGGCTCCCTGCTCAGCAGGGGGTCTGCTTCTCCCTCTG